TCCCTGCACACAGTGAACTTGCCAAATCGTAAAGGATTCGAACACTTCCACCATAACACAGATAATCTCAAATTAATTTCAAAATGAAGGAATTAAGAAGCAGAAGGAAGAATATTTGATAACCATACCTGAAACTCCGCAGAAGCGATATCTGGATTTCTCGTTGTCGAAACAGTGTGGAAGGAGCGCCGAGCTCGTCTCTGATAGGTAACTCCTTTTAATCTTTCCCTTGTGTTGCTATGTTTTTTGCATCATTGAAATGCGCGACGTGGTGGTTGAGATCGGGAACAAAATCGGAAGAGAGATGAATAATTTGAGGCAGAGCGAGGTCGCGTCGTCGGGAGAAAGAGATTGACGGAGGTGGCAAGGAAAATCAAAGGAGAAGTTGGGACAAAGTCGTCGCATTTCATGAGGAGATTGGAGGTGATAAGCTTTGGCGCCGCTAGTACCTTACGAGGAAGAAGAGAATTCTATTCTCAGCGTGATAAGCTCCTTTACCTTAATCCTTCTTTCTAATCAATGTTTTTTATTATACCTTTTTTTTTGTTTTGCTAATTTAACTTGATAATTTTAACATGGGCTGAGTAAATACTGATGAGTGTTGTTGATTGGGCTGGTCGGGTCACCCAAAAGCCCATGGTAGTTCTTTTTGGTTCTGAAATTGTTTAAAACAAAACAAAAAGATAATTCTTTGGCCTCTTCTAGATGGGCCTTACGCTCAATGTAGAGTTTACATTCCATACCCTCTATATTTGTTATGCGCTCTCTTGACACACCTTTATTTATTTATTTTTAAAAAATTATTTTTAGTTTTAATTCCTCCTTACATAAACTCTTGGTTAACGAAGTTAGTGATAATAAATAATTATAAATATTTTAGAATTAGTTTATTAACTTTTATTTTAATATCATCTTTAATTCAAAAAAATATGAAAAATTGATTACTTCTTTTATAACTTATTAAACTAAATTTTCCTTTATTATTTTATCTTGAATAGCCATTTAGGATAGTTAATTTTTGTAGAAAATTCAAGTAGTATTTGTTAGTTTTCGATTTGGTTGTATTGCCTGATTAATTGATTTCTTAATCAAACTTTCGATCCGATTCATCCCTATTCATCAAACTTGTATCCCCATTCCCGAAAGCTCTGTAATAGCGTAGAATTTTAATTTCCGCAATTTATTTTTTTCTTTATACTGTATAGTAATTAGGCATGCATGGCAAGATTAAAATCAATTGTTAGACAACCCTAATCAAAGATAAATTAACTTGAATCGAACAAACTTTTCACACGCGCACCTCTAGGGTAACCTCGCTTGTTGCCTTGGAAAAACAATCATGTCCCTAGAATGTGGGACGCTTTAGCAAATACGCTCAATAAAAAAGATCGTAGTCCCTCGATGACCCTTCGATGTTGCCTTCGGTAAATGGTCTAGTCCCTTACGAAAAATGCTAAAGCATCTCATAAGTTACCTTCTATGACTGTACAATTGACTCGCGCCTGTCTCTTCACGTTCAATGATAGGGCTTCTTACCAAATTGATGGTAAGATAGCAACATCTAAAGGAGGAGGAAAAGAGCAAAGACCTTTTGAGTAGGTAGAACGTTCATAGTTGCTTGCTCACAATCATTTTCAAAATAAGATCTTTCAAACACACCAACACTTTCAAAATATCTTCAAAAACAAACATCTCTTTGAACTATTTTCAAAACCAACACTTTGTATACATTCTTATAGAGACGAGAATCATTACAAAGTTTTCCGAAACAAAGGCGTTTTCAAAATATTTTCAAACTTACACAAAACACAAAGCATTTTAAAGTGAGCTAGTAACTAAGAGTCCGTAGATAACTATGGATGAAAAGGGTGCTAACATCTCCCCTTTTCATAACCTACCCCCCGAACTCAAGAAAATATCTCAAAAGGTCTTTCTTGTTCTTTTCACCATTTCCTTTATTGGATAAAAGAAAAGTCGGTGGCGACTCTTGCTATCTGCAACAATTGCGATAAAACGCAAACACCCAAGTCAGTTCTCCCACCGTATTACATCCACTTTAAAGGAAAACCATCATTTTCTTCATGGATTTCATCATCCTTCTTTTCTTGGTTGGTATCTTTATCCTCCTCAATCTCCACCTCATTAGATTGATCTACTCCTTCATCGGTGTCTTTGAGTATGTCTTCCATAGATGCACCTAGACCATGAAAAGAACTACCTTTTCCAACACTATTTTGGGGAAGTCTCATCAAAAGTAACATGAACGGACTCTTTAAGAATAAGTAATTTCTTGTTATAAACTCTATATGTTTTACTAGATTGAGAGTATCCGAGAAAAATACCTTCATAGACTTTTGTATCAAATTTTCCAAGATTGTCTTTTCCATTATTTAAAACAAAACATTTACATTCAAAGACATGAAGATTAGATAAATTTTGTTTTCTACCTTTTAAAAGTTCATAAGGAGTTTTGTCATTAATTGGACGAATAATTATCCTATTCAAGACATAACATGCCGTACTAATAGCATCGGCCCAAAAATATTTTAGTAGACCACAATCATTGAGCATTGTTCTTGCCAACTCCACTAAAATGAGATTTTTCCTCTTAATAACACCATTTTGTTACGGAGTTCTAGGAGCTGAAAAGTCATGTTCAATACCAAATTTATCACAATATTCTTCAAAGAGGTGTTTTCAAATTCACCTTCATGATCGCTTCAAATAACAACTATCTTTGAATTCATTTTATTTTGAGCAATCTTGGCAAAACTTGTGAAATCTATGAATGTTTCATCCTTGCTACATAAGAAAAACGTCCAATAAAATCTAGAGTAATCATCTATATGTAAGTACAAAGTGCGCCTAAGAGGGGGGTGAATTAGGTACTTTAAAAATTTCTGGTTTTAGTGATGATGGATATTATTTTTATGGATTATGGTGAGTTTATGAAAGAGCAAAGTGCAGAAAAATAAAGAGACACAAGCGATATATCCTAGTTCCCCTCACAGTCCGAGAATACTCCAGTCCCCTTTCAACATGAAAGAGATTTTCTTATTGTGGCAAGCTTAAACAAGAACTACCCAAAACCAAGAACAATCCTCTTGGATTTTCACTATGTCAAAAATGAGAATAATCCTCTCAAAGTGACTTCACTTGTATCCAACAATCCTGGAAAAACAATATTTATAAAACCACTTAAAGTTATTTCCAACAATCCTGAAAAATAAGCAAGTATATAGCAATATTTAATTTGAGTGAGTTTGAGTAGCAATGATCACTTTGAGTGATTTAATCAATGAATTGATTTCTCTTCCAATTATAATAGTATACAATGACTCAAGATATATAATGCTCAAAGTTTTCTGGTTAACAATATGTTAAAATATGCAGAAAACTTGTGTATGAAAATGTATAACAGCTTGAGTTTGATTTTTGAAAATTCAGAGAAAAAAAATGATTGGAAAGAGGTACTTAGAATGATTTTAATGAGTATTTATATGTTCATAGCACCTTTTTGAAACAGCATAAAGTTCTGTAAATGAATCATGAACAATTGCCAAGATTGAGTGAAAGGTTTCCATGAAATAGTGTTATGAACAGGTATGTGTAAAGCTGCTATTTTTCAAAATCGTGCAGCATGCAATCGATTGTACCCTTTATGTAAATCAATGGCACGGGGTTTCAACAGCTAGAAATTCAAATATTTTGAGTGTGAAATCGATTTCACAAGTGTGTAAATCGATTGCATTTGAAGTCAGTAGCAAAAATTGATTGAATACAATCGGTTGCACAAACATGCAAATCGATTGCACTTAGAAACAGTAGCAAATGTTTGGAAAAATTGAAGCATGCAATAGATTGCACTAATATGCAAATCGATTGCACTCAAGTGAAAAATGATTTTTAGCTTAGAAAAACTTGAGTAAGAAATTGGACAATATAAAATATTTCTTTTGACCATTGAGCATCTATGTCTTAAGTTCAAAGTAAGTATTATCATTATACCTTGAAATTTTGCTAAGTGCTTGAACCAAAGACTTTATCCAAAGATGCTTTTAGCTTGATCAATAATATTTTCCTTCTTTGCCAATCATGGTTTGTCTTAATCAAAACAAAAGTGCATTTGAGAAGCTTGATTTTACATTCTCCCCCTTTTTGATGATGACAAACGATCTTGCTTGATGCGTTGTAATTTCCGGAAAGAGCTTCTCCCCTTAAGATGCATAACTCCCCCTTTGTATGAGAAGGTTGGAATTCTTTGAATTCGTTCATCTTGGTTGAAGAGTGCCTTAGAAATTTAAGACAGGAAATGTACAAGCATAAAGTATAACATCCTTCTCCCCCTTTGACATTATCAAAAAGAAGGGAAAGAAGCAATAAAAAATGGACAAAATATATGTAATAATATTGAAAGCTTAACTATAGTCATATTGCTTCATGATGTTTTTTCTCATCCTTTGATAAATTCACATAGTAGTTGTCTTCATCAAAACATAATGTTGAAGATGCTTAACTCTTTTAGAAAGAATGAGAAACTCTTATGTGAATGCTCCCCCTATCTTTGATAACTCCCTCTTGATCAAAATTCTCCCTTGAATCATAGAGAATTTGCGCGCACGCGCACACACACACATATCGTCTCCCCCTTTGTCATTAAAAAAAGTATGGGAAAAGCCTTATAATACATGAAAAAATTATTGAAAGTAAAATCAATTTATACCAATGAGTTTCACCTCAAGAGTGACTTCATAAACCATTCATCTTTTGAGAACATGATTTTGAAGCCTTATGCAACAAAGTTGTCTTTTATTTAGAAGTTGTCTTTTGTTCTTCAACATAAAGTACATCTTCAATGGATATGAAAGTTAGTGTATCAACTTTGCCAATGCCAAGAATTCTTCCTTTAAGGTATTTCCCATATGTGAAATAATCCTTGGACTTGAACTAGATTTGAAAGTTAGTGTATGTCTCCCGTCATATGCTTTAAATAACCACTATCAAGATACCAAAGATTGCATGTGGTCTTCAAGCATACCTACAAAACAAATTAAGTTTGATTTGATACCCAATATGCTTTGGGTCCATCATAGATAGTTTCATTCTTAACCCACACATGATGCCCACTTGCTACACTAAAGTTTCTAACATAGCAAGCATTAGGTGTATGGCCAACCATATCACAATAAAAACAAGTAGGTTCAAAGTTATTTCTATATCTAGAAGGGTAAGATTTTTTCTTAACAAATCTTTTCTTTTTAGGATATTGATGAACTACTTTAGGTTTTTTTCACTTTCTCTTTGGATGATTGATCACTAGCTTTAACAAAAATAGTTTTATTAGAATTTGGTTTTGAAAACTTTGAATATCAAAGTCCACTTTTATCATTGGAATATATTTGTTGGCTAAGAACACCTTCCAATCCAATTTGACATTTTTCATATCTTTCAATAACTCTTTTTAATTGGACAATTTGGAAAGAGAGTGATTCACAATTTTTGCATACAAAATTTTGTTTTTGCTCACTAAATTTTTGTTTTTCATCTTTGAGATCTTTTTCCATAGACTCACATTTTTATTATAAAGATGAAATTTGCTTCTTTTGAGATGAAATAGTTTTGTACAAAATTTTACATTCATTTAATAGTTCATCTATAATACCTTGTGCATCACTATCATAAATAGATAATTCATTACTAACCTCGCCATCTTCACTATCAGAATGGTGTGAGACCATCAATGCAAGATTAACACGTCGATTATGTTCGGAATCGGAAGATGAACTTTCCCATGCTATATATGCTTTCTTTGACTTCTTATCTTTATTTATCTTAAAATATTTCTTCTTATTTTCAATTGTAGGACATTCACTTTTAACATGTCCCTTCTCTCCATATTCAAAGCATATAACCTTCCTTGTTGGTGATTCCCTTTTTCTTTCTTTTCGTAGAACCTTATCAATCTTCCTGGTGAGATCATCATCTTCACTACTAGTGGATTCATCCTCTTGATTGCTATCATAATTTTTTATCCTTATATTTAAAGCAATGTATTTTGAATCTTTTACTTGGATTTCATGCTTTTCAAGTCTTGCAAGTTTCGTCTCATATTGTTGAAGTTTTTCGAACAAAGTGGCGGAAGTCATTGTGGATAGATTCTTCTTCTCGGATATTGCTGTCACTTTTGGTTGCCATTTCCTGGATAAAGATCTAAGCACTTTAAGATTAAGTTCATCATTAGTTAAAGTCTTACCGAGTGCTTTCAAATGATTTGTCAAGTGTACAAATCTTTTCTGCAAGTCGAGGATCGATTCTCGGGGCTGCATTCTGAATAGTTTGTATTCTTGACTCAATGTATTTAATCTCGATCTTTTAACTTCATCAGTTCATTCATGAGTTTCTACCAAGGTATCCCATATTTCTTTCGCCATTTTGCATGCCGAGACACAGAAAAATTCATCCATACTAAGTACACCTTGAAGAAGATTGACTGCCTTTTTATCATAGAGGACCTTTTTATTATCATCTTCATCCCATGCAGTTTTAGGATTTAATGAACCAGCACCATTGATTACGGTTATAGGAATAAATGGACCATTCTCGACGACATCCCATATTTCTTCTCCTTGCTTCTAGATGTGCCTTCATGCGTATTTTCCAGAAGTCAAAATATTCACCACAAAATAGAGGAGGCTTGTTGTTACTACCACCATATCTGAAAACGAGATTTTGATTTTCGGAAGCCATTCTGGATCTTTTAAGAGCAGGTTACCTGTAACCTGCTCTGATATCAATTGTAAGTACGAAGTGCGCCTAAGAGGGGGGGGGGGAATTAGGTACTTTAAAAATTTCTGGTTTTAGTGATGATGGATATTATTTTTCTGGATTATGGTGAGTTTATGAAAGTGTAAGGTGTATAAAAATAAAGAGACACAAGTGATATATCCTGGTTCCCCTCACAGTCTGAGAGTACTCCAGTCCCCTTTCAACATGAAAGAGATTTCCTTATTGTGGCAAACTTAAACAAGAACTACCCAAAACCAAGAACAATCCTCTTGGATTTTCACTATGTCAACAATGAGAACAATCCTCTCAAAGTGACTTCACTTGTATCCAACAATCCTGGAAAAACAAGATTTATAAAACCACTTAAACTTATTTCCAACAATCCTGAAAAATAAGCAAGTATATAGCAATATTTAATTTGAGTGAGTTTGAGTAACAATGATCACTTTGAGTGATTTAATCAATGAATTGATCTTCTCTTCCTATGATAATAGTATACAATGACTCAAGATATATAATGCTCAAAGTTTTCTGGTTAACAATATGTGAAAATATGCAGAAAACTTGTGTATGAAAATGTATAACAACTTGAGTTTGATTTTTGAAAATTCGGAAAAAAATTATTAGAAAGAGGTACTTAGAATGATTTTGAAAATGAGTATTTATATGCTCATGGCACCTTTTTGAAACAACATAAAATTCTGTAAATGAATCATGAACAATTGCCAAGATTGAGTGAAAGGTTTCCATGAAATGGTGTTATGAACAGGTATGTGTAAAGCTGTTGTTTTTCAAAATCGTGCAGCATGCAATCAATTGCACCCTTTATGTAAATCAATTTCACGGGGTTTCAACAGCTAGAAATTCAAATATTTTGAGTGTGCAATCGATTTCACAAGTGTGTAAATCAATTGCATTTGAAGTCGGTAGCAAAAATTGATTGAGTGTAATCGATTGCACAAACATGCAAATCGATTGCACTTAGAAACAGTAGCAAATGTTTTGAAAAATTGAAGCATGCAATCGATTGCACTAATATGCAAATCGATTGCACTCAAGTGAAAATTATTTTTAGCTTAGAAAAACTTGAGTAAGAATTTGGACAATATAAAATATTTCTTTTGACCATTGAGCATCTATGTCTTAAGTTCAAAGTAAGTATTATCATTATACCTTGAAATTTTGCTAAGTGCTTGAACCAAAGACTTTATCCACATATGCTTTTAGCTTGATCAATAATCTTTGCCTTCTTTTTCAATCATGGTTTGTCTTCATAAAAACAAAAGTGCATTTGAGAAGCTTGATTTAACACTATAATCACTAAACCATAATAATTTCCACCTATGCTTTTAGTTCCTGGGGGACCAAACAAATCCATGTGAAGGAGCTCAAGTGGCCTTGATGTAGAAATAACTTTCTTAGATTTAAAAGAGGCATTTGTTTGCTTACCCTTTTGACATGCATCACATAGGTGATCTTTAGAAAATTTCATTTTTGGCAGACCGATTACTAGATCTTTTGAGACAATTTTATTAAATAGATCAAAGTTGACATGAGCTAAACGTCTATGCCATAGCCAAGAGTCTTCACTCAAGGTAACAATATATTGAGCATTATTCTAGGAAATCTCTTTTAAATCAAGCATATAAATGTTATTAACCCTCAAACCCTTAAACATGTAATCCTTCTTTTCATTATGTTCAATTATACAACAATTTTGGGCAAAAGACACTTTATATCCATTATCACATAATTGACTAATACTAAGAAGATTATGTCTAAGACCTTCAACTAGTATAACATTTGAGATAATAATAGTTGAGAGATTACCTGTACTAGCTTTTCCAAGTATCACACCTTTTTTGTGGTCACTATATGACACAACTCCTTTCTTCTTCGCCACAAAGTCGGAGAAGAGCGATATGTCTCCCGTCATATGTCTTGAACATCCACTATCGAGAATCCACTTTCCAATCACAACATCAAGACATTCAACCTAAAAAAATAAAACAAGGGTGGTAGATACCCAATTCTCATTGGATCCTTTAGAGTGAGTTAAATAAATATTTCTTTTGGGCAACCATTGAAAATCACCTTTAGGAATAAAAAAAGTCATAAACTTGCATTTTTCAATAGTGTGACCCTTTTTGCAACAATAGTGACAAAATATCCTATAATGAGAATCACTAATGCTATTAGTTTTTATGAGGCTTTTCAACCTTCAAGGACCTAATAGACATGTTCTCCATCAGATGATGTAGACTATCCAATTTGGTAGAAAGAGTACTTACTTCTTGTTGCCAAATTTAACATGTCTCATAACCATACTTGTAAGAAGGCTCATCCACTTTTCTATGATTTGAACTATCTACAATAAATTCTTATAATGCTTCTAAATCATCATTGGTTTTATCAACCTTGGTCTCTAAAAATGTGGAAAAAATTTCTTGGGAGGCCAATCTTTTGTTAGCATTCAAAAACTAATTGTAGTTTTTCAAATTCACATTTTAATCCGTTATAAGACAAAAAAGAAATGTTAGAGTATTTGAAATTTACATCTTTTTTCTTGCCATGCCGATGATTTGCCATGAAATAATAATTTTCCTCTTCATCACTCTCACTTGAGATTTCATCGCTTGAGGATTCACTTCCGCTTCCCCAAACAACAAAGGCTTGTCTAGGCTTGTTTCTTTGGCCTTTTCCTTTCTTTTTGGAAAGGAATGGACAATCCAGTTTATAGTGACCAGGCTTACCACATTCGTAGAAAATGAAATTTTCTTTGTCCTTTTTGTTGTTCTCTTCTTTGATGGAGGAAGATTGCCTTCTAAACTTCATGAGATTATTATCGTAATGTTTAACTCCATTTTTCCGAACATACCGATTATACTTCCTCACAAATAGTATCATCTCTTCATCATTCGAGATCTCATCATCACTATAGTCACTATTCTTGTTTTACTCTTCTTTTGAGGATTTAGAGCTAGAAGCCTTACGAGCTTTGGACTTCATAACTTCCTCCTTGTGAATTTCCTTATTCTTCTTTTTCTTCTCAACCTTATTTTCATATTTGTCCAAGCAATTGAGTTCTTGCTCGTGTTTTTCAAGATAACCAAAAAGTGTGGTGAGATCAAGTGTTTCAAGATTGTTAGCTTCCTTGATCGCATTGACTTTAGATTGCCAACACCTAGTAAGACATCTCAAAACTTTATTAGTAGCAATAACATTGGAAATAGGATTACCTAGCAAGGTCAAATGATTAATAAGGTGAGAGAATCTATTTTGTATTTCCGCAATGGTTTCACCATTTTTCATGCGAAAGAGTTCAAACTCTTGAGAGAGTATATTAATCCTAGCTTGTTTGACCTCATTAGTTCCCTCATGGACAACTTGTAGAGTGTCCTACATAGCCTTAGCGGTTTGACAATGAAAAATGCGATAGAACTCATCAACACCAAGTGCGTGTTAGATGATAGAACTCATCATAATGAAATTCGACTCATGGGCAACTTTGGATTTAATGGCTAACACTAACATAATGACTTTCACCTCATACAACTACTCTGGTCAAAAAACTTGCTTCTATTTGATTAGTGGTCTCCTTTATTCATATATTGAGAGAATGAAACAAATGCATTGATTGGTTTGAAGATGTGAATCAATCTTCCTTCTCAATTGGATATTATCTTGCTTGGAGATACCTTTGAGGTGTTTAGGCAGCACGGATAGCTTAGGCCTTGATAAAATAAAAAATTCAATTTGAACTTTTTAGAAGTTCTTTTCAAACCTTAAAATAAAAGTGTATATCAGACAAACAAAAACATATACTTTAGAGAGCTTATTATAATGTAACTTATTTTCACTTTGATGTCCCATGCCCTCGCTGGCATATTGGGGCCTGGAGGTTGTATATAAAAGCTATAATACTATGAAAAGAAGCTGTCTCCAAACAATCTGTAAAACAAGTAGGCGTCAACCTTACGAACCTTGTAGCAGCATTTGTGAAGATAGATAGGAAGCTTCCATAAGTGTACGGATATAGAAACTACAGTTAAGATGAACAGCAAACACTCCATTTTGCATAAGTGTGTTGGCTACATAAATTTGTGTGAAACTCTGAAAATGAAATCTTTTTTGGTTATGGCAATTTGAACTGATTTTCAAAATGTTCATTGCAGAGTGCGAAAAACTGCAAATTTCCCCCACATATTAACTACTCCAAATAATCCCCCAGAACTTCTATAAGATCGTGTTTGCACCTAATGACATGTTTGTACCTAATGACTGCGGCATTGACATGTCTCTTGGTAAGACATCTTGCAACTTACATGGAACATATAACTTTCAGAACAAGGAAAAACTTACAAAGAGAAACCTACCACCAAAGTTCAGTCAATAGTAATAGAGACAACCACTCTTCGGCTCTGCTTAGCAGTTCGGCTCCATCAACTCCGACAGTTGATTTTGATGGAAGTGATGCACTGTATTTTCATTGTCCACTAACTGTGGTTGGAATGACGTTTTATTCACTATGGACATTCTTTCTGGGAATTGAAAAACTTTCATTCATCTCAATGTCACCAATTATGGTACATTTTGATCTTGTTCTATTATTGAGCACAATGCCATCTCAACATCAGTAAGTAGTTGCCCGGCATAGAGTTGAAGCTGCCTCTTTTTTACAACTAATACTTTCTTGCCTTGTGATATTATTTCTTCATTCAGTTCCTACAAAACAACGTGTACCCCTTCAAAAACAGAATTATAAGCTAACTAAAAAAAATCTAAAATTATCAATTTCAATTAACATATGCAAGGCTTAATAAGAACAGTGAGACATTTGAGTTGATATGTCAGTGCATAGACGCTTTTATTTGATGCGCAAACTTATATATATTCTTACTTGTATTGACATGGGAACTACATTGGCCCTAAAACCGTCACCCAAATCTTCAAAAAAGGATTCCAGTATAAAACAGAAGTTGTTAGCATCAGCTTGATCCTCAAAAGCAACAGTATAGGAATCATCACCCTGCTCCCATTGCTTAGAGGTAAAGTTTAAGCTATAGAGACCTTTGGGACTTTCTGCGTTGGAGTCTCTTTGCATGAGAATTACCTACACAAAGAGATATGACTCATGGTCAGATGCAAATGGATATACATAGAGGCACACATATTAATTAACGATTAACTAACCAAACATATGTCTATTTCTCATGAATCCAATGCAACCAGAAGAATTCTAGAGTGTATTTCAAGAAAAGGTCCAACAAACCTAGGATATGTGACTTAGTTTTTAAGGATTGAACTTATATACTTGATCCAACTAGAAAATTTCAGAGGGTCACACAGTTTTAAGAAGAGATAAACAATGGTGTAGTATCATTAATTAGTAAGTCACTTTATGGTTATGCTACTGAAAAACAAGTATGCAAAACAAATTCACTTGCACGTACTAGAACATAACGTAGGTTCAGCCACCACATATCAGTCCTAGTGTTTGCTTGTTTACGTGCTGAATTTTTTATAGCAAATCCATGTCCTGAACTGCCATTTATACTGTGCACATTATCCTTTTCAAAACCCTGGGAGTTTTGTGTCCTCGATTCTCTTACTTCAGGTGAAGACATCCCAACACTATTCTTCGGTAAACCACCTAAACATGAAAAACAAAAAAACTCAAATTGCGTTAAATTTCTCCCAAGCAATCCTATATTCATGGATTACATCTTATGTAGTTATACAGAATCCACTAAAAACTTCAGTAATTTTATTGCTCTTTTTCATTTCAATCGAAAGTTGAAACTCCAAATCTAAGTAAAGTTTTACTACCCTAACTTTGATATATAACAAAATTTGAATAATAGTGGAAAAAGAAAGGGCATTTTTATATAGAAATGAAAAGCCATTTAGAAATTATACATAGAACACATTACCATTGCCTATACTCTTGGTCTTAAATCCATCTTTTGTTTTCATACTTGGTGTTTCCATCTTTTCTTCCACATTCTTTCCATCATTTTCAATTTCCCTAGATTTGTCGTCATCCGATTTTCCTCTTTCTTCCAATGGAACACCAGAAGCATTTTTATTTTTATGTGTCACATCTTGTTGATCAAGTTGCTTATCCCCGTCTAATTTTTCAGCATTATCAATGGCCTGACTTCCATCATCTTGAGGTTTTACATCCGATACTCTACTATCTCGTGTCCCTGAAAAGCCCTTGGGAGTTTTCACATCCTTAGTCAAAGGGCTTTTAAATTTAGATTTTTTCTTAAAGACAAACCCCTCTTTCCCCTTATCCACATTCACACCACCACCCTTAACAGAATTTCCACTACCATTCAACCGCAATGCCGATAAACTATCCTTGTTACTATTTATCTTACTCTTCAGCTTCAATAACCGCTCAACAACCTCTTTCTCAATACCAAGTTTACCACTTGAAACAACACTTTCATGATCAATTTCACTATCCCCATCCCCATCCTCTTCCTCTTTCCCTTTCTTCTCTAACTCAATTCTCCGAGCTTCTCTCGCCATTACCCTAATTTCCTCTATTTTCTTTTCCACATTTTGATCCTCCACAATTTTCCCATTGCTCTTTTCCTTTTCACTTACCTCCAAATCATTCAATTTAGAACGCTGATTTTCCAATTTCCAAAAGTACATAACCGTTTGAAATACAAAAGCCCCAATCAAATACATACCACCGTACTTGAAGATATCCTTACCAGATATGTTGCGAAAAACACCATTGTCTTTGGCTGAATCCACTGAAACGCGCAGTTCTTCCAATTCAACCGTCTCTTCAACAGCGGCGGTGACATCTTCGCCGTGAATTTCGTTGGCGGGAACATCAACACTGGGTTCATGTTCTTGAGGAGGAGAGAGAATGGGTTGTGGAAGAGTAGAAGGGATAGGTAGAGAGGGTTTGGTTAGGATTTTGAGAATTTTAGGTCGAAGATAGTTTTTTCTTTGAGCAGTTTTTGAAGAGACTATAATGAGAGAGTTTCGTCTCGTAGTGAAAGGTGCGTGGAAGGAGAAGAAGCGAGACGAAGTCGCCATTGATGCAGAGAAGAGAAGAAAACGGGTTCTGTTCAGGTTATATTCTTCGTGGGCCGAATCAGTTGTTGTGGCCCGATTTAGTTACGGAGCTTCCTAGGAATTTGGTAGTTACAATGTCGGAATGTGTTAATAAAGAGATAACTCATTTTATAGGTTTTAAGTACTCCGATGTACACAGTCTTATTTTTGTTTTTATAATAGAGGTTGTTTTCAGCCGAGTTGTAACTCATAATCCAGAATTGAAACGGAATAACTTTACAGTTAAATCAAGGCTACCTCTTTAATATGTTGGAATGTATTATGTGATCAAAAAATCATTTTTCATGGTCAAGAAATTGATTTATGGGAATTATTTCATTTATTTTATTTTTAAAAAAAATTGTTAAAAGAGTATAATGAGGAACAATCCTTCTTATGTAGTGTCAGTAAAGTCTGGACAAAAAATTAAAGACCTCAAATTCACATTGTATAAAATATATAAATAGTTATCAATCAAAATAAAAGAGACTCGTTATTTTGTCAATAAAAATATAGTTTAAAATAAAAGAGATAAACATAACCTTACAATAGAGGGTTAAATAAAATCACGAGGCAAATGTTCTTTTCGAGACTTCTTTGCGGTAAATGTTAGAATAATATCAATATCATCAAGTGAATTGAATATCTCCCGCTCGGTGTAACATACCATCAAGTCATTAAACCAAATATCGTTGATCTTATTGTGCAATTTAGACTTGATAATCTTCATTGCTGAAAAAGCTCTTTCAACGGATGTTGTCGATACCGACAATCTCAAAGCTAACTCAATAAGTTTATAAACCAATGAAAATACCAAATGTTTCTCAGTTTGAACCATCTTCATAGCCAAACTTTGAACATCTTCACAAGTGTAAAATGAAACATTTCTTCTCACTTAAAGAACATAAGTGTCAAGTTGATCCCTTATTGTTCCTCGGTCATCATCAGAAAAGTCTGCATGATAAATATCAGCAAGACGGGCAAGCTTATCAATATTAAACTTGGAGAAAGAGTTCTTGGGGTCAAGACATGAGAAGTAATTAAGGATAATGTTACTTCCTTCACTAAAGTGATGATCAATCTCCACACATATTTTGTCAATGGCAACATAAGAAATCTCTGCACGGTAATGATGAAGATTAATGATAGTCCTCCCTTCTACCCTTGAACGACCCTGAACCGGTATTTCGTCATCCATATTTGAAACCGGAATACCTTTAGCAACACAAAAATCTTGAACATCAGAAAATAAATTATCCCAACCACTCTCTCTCGTTGTGGTCAACTGAGCTTTGACATCATCAACTAATTCCATGGCAATTCATGTGCACAACACGTTGCAAGATCCTTTTGAATCTCACCAGAAGTCATTGTGTAATTTTTTCCACCACGGTCAAAAGTATCCCTCACTTGTTCATTCTGAAATTTTACCCAATCTACCATCTCTCTAAAATTACCCTTACTTAGAGAAGTAGAGGATTCATCATGAACACGGAAAGCCATGCCTTATGTTATGAGATATCTTGAACAATCTACAGAACAAGTCAAATAAATCTTATACAATTCTTCTAAATCCTTGGTTGCTTTAGCAAACTTACTTGTCACACTTTGTCTTTGATTATTATAATCATCGTAGTGCTTGACACATGACTTGTGCAAACTATTATGACTATCATTGTGACCTTTCAAGCCTTGATATGCATGCTTCCAATCTCTATATCCGCTTTTAGTGAAGACTTCAAAACCAAAGTGATCGGCCCTCCCCGAGTTGCTTAAAGAGAAAACAATGAAAAAAATAAGTTGCATTCTTCATCTCACTGTATTTTAACCATGTATAATTCTTATACCATGATTTACTAAATAATCTTTTAATACTCCCAAATAGAGTACGACGAAAGCTTGGCAAATTTGGTTGCATTGGACCCTTTAATATATATATATATATATATATATATATATATATATATATATATATCCTCCTCACTTGGTCTTGAATATCCAGAGCATACTCATTAATTTATTTCCTACGACCTGGATCACGCACAATCTCATTTGGATTAAACTCATTAACCCCATTAGACAGTGGTTCTTATTCGGCTTCTGGTTGCACAACATTCATATTCTCAATATTTTCTCTAGCAACCAAAAATCTCCTCATCTCTAAACAAAAGATAAAATAATTACAAAATTGTAGTTTCAAAACTTAAAAGAATAATAATCAAATAAAACAAATAAGAATAAACAATGCTCTTCAAACAAATAAAATAAAATTTAAAACTCTAATAAATAAATTAGTATTTGTAATTGTACATGGTTAATCAAACAACCTAAACTCTAATAAATAAATAAATAAATTAGTACATGGTTAATCAAACAATCTAAACTCTAATCAATAAATTAGAATCGAACATGAAATTAAACAAGTATAATATATAGACTTATTACTACAAATTTCATTTGAAAAATAGCAACTAGCATAATCACTAATGGATTTGTAATTGTAAATATGTCAATTCAATTTTGTACTAGTTTGGTGGCTCAAATTAAACTTGTCGCATCGAGCATTTGTCAACTTTCCAGTGAAATAAAAGTACAAAAAGAGAAAAATTATATATGTGCTTATCTAATTCTTTACCAACATATTATTAGTAATCTCTAGATCCTTATTTCTTGTTGTGACAAACATATCAAATAGATTAACAAATCAAGTCAAACACATGTAATATATTTGTATTATATAGAAAGAGAAACACACACATCTGTTATTTAATAATCAAGTTAGAGTTTTACATTAAAGTTGGCGAAGGTAGATTGAACAGAGAAGGAAAGAGAACGGTGATTACTGCTATTCAATAATCCTTTCCTTCTTTAGGTTTTTTCAATTCTAGGTTCCACTATTTTTTCTTTTTCTTTTAATTTTATTTATTTTAAAAAAATATGAATACTAAAAAAAATTTGGGTCGGGGCCGAGCCTAGGCATTTGCCCAAGCTGGCCGTATGGTAGAACCGCCCATGTGTAGTGTTGTATGTGGTGATTGGGATATTCAATTATGGATAGAGTTATTTCATGTAGGGTTGTGAAAGATTATATATACAGTTTTTTTTTTGTAGGAAATATTAGAGATCCCTTTTAGTCTTACGTTGAGGTGTTTATAAAGCTTGGTCCTAAGCCAGAGTTAGAGAGCGGTTTTCTCCAGTCCCACGACTAGAAAACGTGGCATACAAGGGAATGCAATTATCCCTCTTTGACAAATTTTGGTCAGTTGTTGCATGGACACGTCATCTCCCACATTTCTCAAGCACATGGATAATGGGAGTGAGTTTGGAAGGCTCAAGCCCAATCATGTGATCTTTCACTCACGTTAGGCCGACCTCGAGCCTCGTATTCGCAGTTTGTTACGACGTGTTGGGCGAAGTCACTTAATCCAAGTTTTTTGCGAGTCATCATGCATCCACAATACGAGCCACTTAGGATGGATATTTAGTTCAATGCCCAGGGCGATTTACTTTCGAACTAAACCCACATAGTCGGATACCTCGAGTGAGGCTTAGATAGGTTGAGCCCTTCTTTGTAACTCATGAGTCTCATTTTTTGTACAATTTTGTTGTTGTCCTATCGAAGTTCTACTTGTAAAGTCGCCCTTTTTGGTCTTTATTAACGATAATACTCATGTGTTGGGCGATATATTTATTGATTTTCTATTATTCCTTGAGTTGGTAATAACATCGCGAGGGGCTTAACCTCGAGAGACAATGATAGTCTGAGTCCCTCATGCTTCGCTTGAGGCGAGTCCTTCAAGGCTGATAGGACTCAATGTGTTATGTTAGAGCAAGTTTGGATCGTCAACTAATCCTTAGAGTTTTGATGATAACAAGTACATTTGTATAAAGAATAACTTTTTTCTCCAACGCTTGTTCAATATGAAGAACTTTTAGATAACAACTTTGACTTTGAAGAAGTTAATACACCTGATGCTATGTTGAGCACTTGTCGAATCTAGAGAATAGCAGAATCTGAAGAGTGGTGAAGTCTGAAGATTGGTGTTATTAGAAACAAGCAGAATATGTTGTAAGAGAATGACTTTGAACTCTGAACAAGCTTTATCACTATTTTTAAAAAGCCTCTAAGATGAAGACATATGATATGAACTCTAACTATCTACGACTATGATATCTCAAAGTTCGAAGACTAACTCTAATCAAGCTTCATAAATAACCTATCCAAAGCCTCTAACTCAAGAAGTTAAGTGTGAAAAAGAAGACAGTTACTATGACCTCTGATTAAGCTTCATCCAAAATTTATCAGAAGCCTCTGAACCACGAAGTTAATTGTAAAGGGAGTTTGTGTGAAAATATTATTAAAGTATATCATCACGTGACTACAGTACAACATCATATCCATTACCCTGCATATCAGGATAAATGATTATACATTGTACTATTACTGTTCACACGTCTCATCATAGTGCTGCTACCGCCACTCTACTCTCACTATAGAAAACATCTCCAATAGTTATTTGTTGTATGGATTCTCAATCTTTCTTTCTCCAACGGATCTATTTTCTTTATCTACATTGTTGTGTGCATATAACAACAATGTAGACAATACAAACACACAAGAGAGTGAGACAAAAAAAAAGAATCAGCACAAAGAAGAAATGAGTCAAAAAGAAGAGGAAGAAGAAGACACATACAAGAAGGATAAATTATGTGTAAAATTTTATAAAAGAAGGAAATATCTCTCAAGAAGATAAAAGAAGAATTGCATCGAAGAGGTACATGGAGCAAAAGAAGCATATTAACACTTTGCAAATGAAAGCAAAAAGAAGATTCAAAAGAAGATAAGATCAAGTGTTAAGAAGATCTTTAAGAACAACAAGACATAAACACTTAGATCTTTAAGTCCTATTTCATATTAAGTGTTGTCTCTTAAGTTTAAATTTTATGTAATCAACTTTCTGTAGAAGCAATCTCGTATACAC